TTCTTCTATTACAACTGGGATCACTTTGCCTTTTTTCTCTAGCTCCTCTTTCAGCCCCGGCATTTTTTGCTGCCATCTTGCTGATGTATTCCTATTAATGCTTCATTCAGGATAGTGACCTTTCGTACTCAGCAAGACCCACCCACATTTCCGGCTAGAGAAAAAGCAATATTCTTTGATTATTAAACTTGGGTTGGAAATTTCCGAGCATTGGGAGCAGTTTCTGGATCTTTGCAACGGCAGCCTACATATCATATATAACGGAATATAAATTTTCTTAACTAAAAAATTAGATCAATTTTTTTTTACTACTACGTTCTTCGGTTAAATGATTGCAGTCACGAGCATCAAGTAGCTTTTAAAATCTTTTTAGTAGTAATTAGAGAAAAAGCAATAAATCCTATAAGAAATGAAAAATCACAAGCAAAGAAGATTTTTAGCTATAAATTTTTACAACTTCATGAAAAAAAATCTTAAGCTAACTTGTTCCGTCAATTTATATTTTTTAAGAGAATCAAAATCCGCGAGATATATTAATTTTTTTCGTCGAGGAATTTTGTCGATGAATATGACTCAATAGCGCCATTATTTTTTATTGAAATTACTAAAATAAAATTTAATTCCTATCGAGTAGAAGTGGTTTCAAAAAAAAAAAATTGAAGCCAAATAGTTTTTTTAATTACTAAGTATTTTCTTCCCTTTTCTCAATAAAATTTTAGTGAATTTTTGCCTTACTTTAAAAAGGTATAACAAAAAAATGAATGGTAAAAAGATAATTGGGATGTAATGTTGAATTAATTAGGGATCTTAAGTTCAAGCTGACGCATTACAGAAAAGGTGGCCATTTTAGGATAAAAATGCAGATCTCTAGCAGCCTTTAAATTTCAGGTTAAATGACGGGTCCATTATTATTATTCAGCAATAATGAAACACAAAAAAAAGCTAGCAAAAACTAGCACATTAGAACGAACATTTTTAGCTTTTAATCGACTGACAACGAAAATACGATGGCTATTTTTTGAATTTAAACGACTAAGAAAATGGAGAAGCGAAATTTAATAAAGTTTAGAAGCAATGAAGGAGATTTGAATGTAAAATGAAAATTAAGTTTTTATGGAAACTAAAAAATAGAACCATTGAAAGCGATGATGATGAATTCGATCTGCAAAATATTTTGGCATTGGCATTAAGGAGGTGGTTAGCGTTTATCATTTGTATTTAAGTTTAAATGTATTGAAGAAAAATGGAATTTCTATTAAAATTTCTTCAGTTTTTATAAATCAGAATAGTATTAATAAAATTATTTTCGACGAAATGATTGAAAACATCGAAATTATGCTGATTAAATGAAAAAGGAAATTTTTCGGTTTGTATAATCGTATTCATTTATGACGAAATAAGAGACAGAGGTGGATGGATAGTGGTTCAAATTATCATGTTGATAGACAAGGGTTCGACTCTTGTTCCCGACAGAAGCAAATCTGCCATTGAAAAATCGAGATTGCGCAGACAACTCACTTTTGTCTCTTCTAAATATGTCCCTAACAAAAATTTTTATTCGAGCTATCAGCCAGCAGAACTAGTAACCAGAAATACCCACTAGTAACGCTAAACATCTACTTACTTACTCAGTTGCAATGGATGTCATAAAATTAATGGACAAATAAGTAATCCTTTTGAGCGAAGGCAAAAAGCATTAAAACTTTCAGCATCACAAAATGTGAAAAAATTGAGGTGATAAATTGTTGAATTTAACAAGAAATGGAACATTTCAACAAATTTTGTTAGAAAATGCTCCACATTCTATAACAGAGAATTTATTGAGGGCAGATGGGATCGCACAACTGAATGGTATATAGTTTCGAGAGAAATCGTTACAAACGGGTTTGATTCTCGCTGCTTGAGGGGTATTGAATCTTCCCATTAAATCTGCCATTAATAGTGAAATGGATATTCCGCTTGGAGATTGTAATGAATATAGCGATTCGTTCGTTAAATTACAAAATTTGGTCAGCCAAAATTAATATGTCCAACATATTTAATCTGATGTGGACAGTCAGTCATTTTTTGTTCGACTCTTCGATTTAAAATGAATGATTTGTTTAAATTTAAAAAAAACTTTGATAAACATAAGTGACATAATTGGTTTTTAGACATTCACTATGTAAAAAATAGCTTTCGCTATAAAACACTCAACGATTTTATACGCTTCTGTGCTTTGTTACTTTACATAAAAAAACCAATTCTCTAAAAAAATTATTTTGAAATTACTTCTTCAAAGAAATTCACATAAATTATTCGCACTATATATAATATATATATTGTATATATTGTATATTATGTAAGTAGCTTGCCGATTCACAAATCTGTGGCGATTAATCGTTTTTGTTTCATTCTTTAAAAATTTATTTATGCAAAATGTTTTTAAAGAAAATTTTTGCGAAGAATTTAGTTCTAAAGAATAAAGAAATTATATTTACATAAAATCTAGTTCTTAATTACTTATTCAAATGTACATATTTAATTTAATGAGGAAAGATCGCATTTACTGCTTCAACTTAAATCAAGCATCGGTTCGATCCTTATCCCTTGACTAGCCTGCACATTTATAGGCCAAACTGTTTTCTAATAGATCTCATTTTAATCAGCAAAGTACTCTCAATTGGAAATAACCTTTGTGGTCTTTGCTTCATCAGATTGGTGACCTTCCATTTCGACCTGCTGAATTATGTTTTGCTAATTTTTAAGCACACATAAATAATATTGTAAATAATAATATTGCATTATTGCTATTATCATTATCATGACCATTAAAATATCATACAAATCCGTTTTATTAATAAGTTTTTTTGTTAAATCAAAAAAATAGTTTTTATCGAATCAAAATATCAAGAAAATTATTGTATTATTATAATTTTTTATAAAAGCCTCTGTCGTTTAGATCCGAAATGTTTTTCGAAGTTATTTTTTACATCCTCAAAAGAAAGAAATTTTTTCAGTTAAGTACCACAAATGCCTAAACAAATAGTAAGGAGCGGAGCCAAGACTATAAGGTCTCAGGTAGTCTATAAGGTTTTGAATTTTTGGATTTTTGGATTATATGGATTTTTTGAAACATTAAGTCTTCGAGAATTACTTCGATTTTTGGAGAATTATACATTTTCTTCTATCTATAATGAAATTTGAAAGAAAGTTTGACCAGGTTTAAGTAATCTTTAAGAATTTTTCCTTTTATACTCCACAGCATTATTCTTTTTTTCATAAACAATAATTCTGGGTAAAAATAGTTCTTTTTCTCGCATTAGAAGAAGCGAAGAAAGCAAACTGACGTTCCTTGAATCACATTTTGACGATCTGTACTCATCTCCAAGTTGATAAGTTACAAGTTATAGTGGAAACCATACAAGCAGAAATCTAAAGTACCTAAATATAGACAAGTGCATTATCATATATCTTTGGCAAGTGGAAGGTAAAGAGTGGAAGAAAATCCGATTATTCTGTGCTTCATATAAATCCACGAGTTGTGACCAAACATTTTGGAATCGTGGTGGAATCGTGGTGGACGGGAGAGTGGGATGATAGAAAGGTGGAGAAGGAAGGGACGAGCCAATTTGGTTTAGGAAGGACGTTGTCACGTTGTGCGCTCTCATCGCCTTCATATGCAGTTTCTCTTCCATACCCTGTCGTTAATCTCTTTATCGTATATGTATATTTAAATCTGTTCATTGATATATAGTTATGAATATAGCGTCGTCTGTTATTATCTGTAAATAAAGGTTCAATTACGCAAGTTTGAGTAAATAAGTCCGGGCTACTATTTTATCTCGAGCAATTCGCAATAAAACATTAAAAAAGGAAACGACTGAATAATTAAAGGAAAGAAAACCCGCGTGGCAAGCAGAATATATAACTTAAATAAAGAAATTTACGCAGCGAACTCCCACTCGTGCATGGTACGTCAGCCGAGAAACTTGTTCATTGCGAAAAACTGGCGAACCGATGGTCAAGGAAGTGAGAACGGAACGACATCGACAAGCTTTCTTAATTTTAAAATAGTAGCCAGTCGTTAATTTGCTTATCAAGTTTGTTAAACAATAAAAGTTTCAGCTTTAAGTTTCACTTTCTTTGAAACTTTAAATTTTTCCTTAACATCGCTATTGATTTTTGATTTAACATGAATTTTTCACTATTGTGATCAGAGCCTTTTAAATGATCTCTTTCTTTAAACTGAGAACTGACTCTCACATAGTTGAATTAGTAAGTTGTTTGGATAAGATAGAAAAGAACCCTTTTAGGACCTTAAAAACTTAAACCAATAAACGAATTTCGTTTCACAGCTCGGAGATGGAATAACTTAAGTCAGATATCGGTTAACTGGTCCAATATAGGCAATGACAAATCGACTGAAAAGTGTGTAATGAGCAGTCTACTAAGATTCTGCTCTATTAAGATATAGAAAATTATTATTACTTATTATTATTATTATTATTCCCATTATTATTGTTTTTATTGTTGTTGTTATTATTAAGTATTATTATTAGTTATTATGGATCATTAATTATTATTATTATCATTATTAATTATTATTATTATAATAGTATTATTATCAGTTATTATTGATTAATAATCTATTATTGCTTGGGCATCTCAAATGATAAATTTTTTTCCTTTATTTTCTCTTCCTTTTTAGTTTTCTTCCACCTTATGTTATATGTTTAAATAATTAATATTGTATAAAATAATTATGCTTCTCTTCAACAGGATATGTCAAAAATCCGGATAGCTGCTGGGAATCTATCTGTAACCATATCCCAAAGTGACCCTGTGGTGAAAGGATCAGATGTCCTTGACATGGCATCCGCATCCTTCGACGCGCATGACACTCCTAGCCCGGTGGTACATGCGATAAGTATACAATCCAGCCGTTAAGCGATCCCAAGGTCCAAAATATATTTGCAAACCAGGGCAATTGCTCGAAACCTTTCAAGGGAAACGGCAAGATGCTTTGCACGCGCGGCAAGATGTTAATATCAGTGGAACGCCAGAATTTATGGACATTGCAAGCCAAGAGTCGTTCACTATCCACACTCTTTCTAAATATCATGTGGATGTCGTCTGCTTGTCGGAGGTCCATTTTGCTCACTTCGGATCTCGAGAAATTATTAATCCTGGCTCGTACAGATACTGGATCACTTCGGATAACTCGAGGCGAAATGGTCTTGTCATGTCTGAGAAAGCTTGGTCCGCTCTGAGAAAGTGGAAGCTGGTAAACCGCATACCTTATGTTCTCTTCAAAGGAAACTTCTGCAATATTTCGATCATATATACTCCAACTTTAAGCGCAGGTTAATGCGATAAGGATAAGTTCTATGCGGAACTTCAACTGTTAACGAAATCTCTACCGAAACAATATATGGGGGAGACTGGAATACGCGTGTGGATTATAATGCTGCTGCGACAATTGGCAAATGGCATCGGAGACCGATATGCCAAGGGGAAACGCCTTCTTCGTTGTGCTGGAGAGCATGAATTTTTTGTTACTAATACTTGCTTCAGGCATTGAGCCACTTCAGCCACTTCAGCGCTAGGACACACTGGTGCGAAATGCGCTAGTTTGGTATCGGAAGCAACTGTCCAATTGTCTGAAAATGCTGCCAAAGAATACGATAATAGCAAACTATTCAGCCTTCATAAAGCAACTAAAACTCGAGGAACGATAGGTGAAATAATAAGGTAGCAATGGTGCGCCTGTTAAAAATATTATGGATCACCTCATAAGATGAAAGGAATTCTTTGGGGGCAAACTTAACCACGATGCGCCATCTGTTAACCCAGACATTTAGCTGATACTTGGTCGAACCATATTTTAAGATCAATAAAACACCTGGAGACGATGGTCTTTGGACCAAATTCTTCAAATGTTCTCTATCGTCTTTCATATTACAATAAATGTACTCTCTGGTATGGAAGAATGAAATAATAATAGATAACAGGAGGCAGTTCTGTTTTCAACTCCAAAGAAGGGTGGCAGAACATACTGACAATTGTCAAAGAATCAGTCTCCTAGATAATCGATGGAATTTTGCTCCCTTCCTACTGAATAGACTTATAGCAATACGAGCCTGCAGGAAACGCCCTAACCAAGCTGGGTTTAGACCGGAACGCTGATATTCATAATAAGAAGGGTGTTGGAACATATGATGCTCCAAATATCTGCAATCCATCGTGTTTTATCGACTTTGCAATCTGCCTTCGATTCATTTGATAAAACGGCATCTTGGAGAATGGTAGAACGCAGTGGTGTTCCAGAAAAGATCATTCGACTCATGAAGGCATTTTATCAGCGTACGTTGGCGCAAGTCTATGTACATGGGGCACTGACAGAATCCTTCGAAATAACAACTGGTGTCCCTCAATGGTGCGTCCTTTCGATTACAATATTCAAACTAGACTGGATGATGGGCATTGCTTGTCGGCACTCAAGAGGTGTGCAAATCAGTCCAGAGTATAGCATTACAGACTTTGAATACGCTGATGATGCAGTCCTTTTTGTTGACAGTTATGTAGTTATACAAAATACTAAACGACGTGTCAGCAACGAGAATCGGATTCAGGATCAATGTAAAAAAAAAAAAGTCTTTCTGTTTTATATACAAAAAGCTTTTTATAAACTCATGGCCGGTTGAGAAAGTGTCTGATATTAAATACCTTGGATCTGCCGAATAGCCAAGCAAAAGACGAAATTGCAACCCAGACAATGGCAGCTAGAATGCTTTCCTGTTGACGAAATCTTTATGGAGCCGTCGCGAAATCACCATAAAAACGAAAGCCGCGATTCGTTCGATCTTGCTATATGGCTGTGAGACATGGCCATTAGCCAATGAGAGTGGAGAACATTAAGAAGTTATCTGCCTTTGACTACTCGTCGCCTTCGCTGATTAAGGGACGCTCTTCGTCGTCCACCACAGGGGTTGACGCATATTTCGTTACTTTCTAAACCCTATGGTAGATGGTGTTAAAAGCGAAATGGGCCAATCAAGAACTGGTTTGGTACCGTCAGAAATGATTTTGAACATATAGGTGGACCAGCAATATATGGACTTAAACGATCGAAAAAGAAATGGCTTCTATTACTGTCGGCGATGGCATCACGCCGATTGGAAGCGTCCCATAGCCACTGAAGCCAATCTAATCAATAATGATGACAGCTGTTAGTAGAAAAAGAAAAGAATGGAAGCACTAATAAAAGATTCCCACAATACCAATAGGTATGCTGGTATGAAAGAACATAAATTAATGGCAGCTAGCTGCTTAAAAGCAATCTCAGATTTGGACATCTCAAACATTGGAATTGAAATTGAAGAGATGAAAAGTTCGCTGTAAAGACGGAAAGCGGAGAGGAGTCGCAAAAATTTCAACCAGTGATAAAACTGTCGAAGTTAAAACTTAATATATTTGATGGTTCGATAAGAAACTGAGTGGCATTTATGGACAGTTTTCTGTCAGCCATAGGAAAGAGAAATCCCGATCCAGTGGATAAAATTAAAATCTCGTTTTCCACCTGGAAGGAGAAGCGAGAGAATTAGTGGAAGGATTCCTAATGGATGGTAAATGGATGGTAGATGGATGGTAAATGGATGGTAAATAAAAGCTTGTGGGATATTTTGGATCAAGTATCCAGATAAAACCATTATCATCAAAGATATATATAAAGAAGCATATAAAAAAGTATAAGAATTAAATCCGAAAAGAATGGATATAAAGGATGTTTGGAAAGTTTAAAGCCGATATTACGCCAGTTAACAGCCTTGGGAGAAAATATTGACAACAATTCGATTATCAGCATTGGCACAAGCTAAATTGCCATGCTGAAAAGAATAATAGAAGAAAAACGGAAATCAGCCTGGGCCATAAGCAAATTAAAAATTAAAGAATATTAAAAATTTACGAAGAGGAAGGTCTACAAATGAACAGAATGGTAAGGACCAGTGAAAAAAAAAATCTAAACTGTTGAAGCCCAGATCTTCAATCAGTATTCTCGAAATGGAAGATAACTGTGATATTAAGATAGAGTATATTCAAACATAGCGACGAATAAACCTACCAACCAAGATAAAAATTAAAAAATATGTATTTTGTGATAAGGACCATTGGAGTACCAGTTTAAGTGGATCTAAGTGGAAAGTCTTCTACTAAGATAGGCTTCATATCTTCATGAATCTTTATCGGTGCTTGCAACTCGATCACAAATCCATAGTAGCATGGAATGCCTCGAAGAACCATAATGCAGCAAATGCAGGGAAAAAAAGAAATGTAGCAACAAGATGGATAATCAGATCAAGAGCAAGGGAGGATGCTACTGCTTGAAAGAGAAGTTAATAGGAATGAAGTATTTCTTCTTTTTAGGGAGATATTGGTCAATTCAGATTAGACTGATCACTGTTAAAGAAGATATTGGTGGCAAGATAATTGCCACTGAGAATCGAGGCTTGAATTCAAATCCGCCAATGCTCTTTGTGGGGTGGCAATGTCGCCTAGGAAAAATGAAAACAAAAAAGAATAGAATGGCTCAGTGGGTTACTGCTCAATCTGAAGCGTCGATTCTGAGGTCCTATAGGAGTAAGCTTGTCCAAAAATGCGGCTAATGCTGGCGATTCACACGTACTATCGAAAGGGGATTCCATGGCATATTTGTCTAGTGCGACAAGCCATCCACCAGAACGAGTCTAATTAATAATAAGTGCTCTCAAAAAAAATTAGTCATAAATCCACTGAATTCAAAGACGAAGGCTCGTGCTTATTATTACTTGATACGGGAAGTCAGCTGACAAAGACATAACGGGAAAAGTTGTGACTTGAAATAAGAGAATAAATGATTGCAATACTGAGCTTCACCTCGAGAAATTTAATTTGAATGCATTTAATACATCATTTAAACCAAAAATTTAATACATCGTTTTTACAGCAGATATAATATTTAAAAATTGATTTGTGTATTTAATATAAGCCAATGTAGTGACACAACTGACTTCGCAAATTAAACACTGAATGCAATAAAAAGATTTCAAAACTTCAAATGGGGTATTAAAGATGATAAAACCTGATATATCAGGTAGGCTCAGACTATTTTTTTTATGGAGTCAGGCAAAAAAGTCAAAATTCTGGTCTCTAGAGGATTCAGAATTTTGATTCACGAATATTTTCGCAGGAAAATCACACAGTACGAGAGAGAAACTGTAGATGGCATGATTTATTAACGTTTACAGAGCTGACGGAACAAGATGTTTCGCAGTTCTCGTTCTTAGAAACTACTGGATTGGGAAAGCCGATTGTCATTATGGATGAAGTATGTGGACAATGTCAGAAGTGAGTCAAAAAAAGTGGTGTAAATAGATATCTATATTGCAGTCTTGGAAAAGTCGATCCTTACTTTTAGAAGACTCATATAATAAGTAACTTAAGAAGTCTTGGAAATTAGTACGGCTCGGTAATTAAGGAGTCGTTAGATAACAAAGAAACTGCTAGCTCATATAGAAATATCACCCCTAAAAAATTTTATATCCTGTCTTCTGGTCGTTTCGCTGGATAGGCAAAGTTAGGTTAAGTTTGATGCATCGGCAGCTAGTAAGAAAGGATATTCTCTAAATGAACGACTTTACACAGGATCCACTTTTATTCCTCCAACTAGCTGGAGTATTCTTAGGATTGAGATAGGCAAAATTTATACTAATGGTGGATACAGGTCTTCCTTCAAATAGCCATATATGATGAAGAGATCAAAGAGATATTACAAGAGATATTATATTTTCTGTGGTTGAAGGATGTGAAAGACTGTCGCTATAGAGCGATAATTCGCTCACATATGCCCTTCGGTACCAATTCTAAGTACCCATTCCTTAGCGACTGTCATCAAATATCTCCTAAAAACATCCCATAATATACTTTCCAGTGAGTTCTAAAGAATCTGTAGACAATATTTTCCCAACATTTGATATTGAGGAGGAAATAGCCTAACAGTGTACAATTTTTTGATGCTAATATGAATTGAGAATGTTCGTAATTAACAGCGATATAAATCAACACATCCCCCAAGAGAATCCAATCCTGGATATAACAGGACTGGCAAAAATCCTATGTGTTGATTATAATTTAAACCGATTGTTTCATATAGTCCATTAAGAGACTCCAAAAAGAGTTAATAACTAAGAGACATTATAATTTGTTGCATCAGTGTTCCATCCGTTAGGTTTTCTAGTTCCTTGCATTTTCCCGATGAAAATATTCATAGGTCTATGGACTAAGTCATATTTGATAATTTTAATAATTACATTGATGTATTAATCAAACTTTATGAAAATTATTCTAGAATGATAAAATATTTTGAAAAATATCAGTTCCACGCTTAATAATTTGTAAACTTTAAACTGATTTGGTTGCCTCCTTTGATTATTAATACAACCAATATCATTTTACCATAAATTTTGGAAAATACTATAAAAGTAGATAAATAAACGGGTCTCCATCATAATTCGTGCCATGGTACTTAACTTTAATCATACCATGGTGCAAGAAAAGAAATTTGATTGCTTACTTTTGGTTAAAACAATATATTATTCTATTTCGTAGATTATTCATTTAGACTATTTTGTAGATTCCAGTTTAACAAAATTTAATAATTTTTTTCATTATCGTATTTTTAGCCCTTTTTATTGCATGATGATTACGAAACAATGATGATTACGAAATAATGACAAGTTTATTATGAAAGTTGAAATGGTATATGAGAATATGATTCAGTGATATTTAAAGAATTTAAAAAATTGCAGAGGCAGAGATGAGCAACAGAAGTAAAAATTTCATTCCAAACTATAAGTAACATTTAATAATTTCTTCCAAAGGCTTACGCTTCAGCTCGGGGACTGTAGCATCATTTGAAGGATAACCAATCGACAGTAGCATTAAAACTTTCTCATCTTTTGGACGATTTAAAAGTAATCGAATTCGGTTATCACTACCATAAGGTAATGTGCATACAGACCCAAGGCCAGCATTCTGCAAAAATTATCATATATTACTCTTCCTGAATTTTTCAACCAATTGTCTAAATAAACTAGGCTGATAAACATGGAATATCAATTACTAAGTACTTGAATGGCTCCAATTAAAAGTCCAGTTGCAATACTGACACTTATTTCTCCAAACTGTAATGACAAACCACTGTCCGTAATTTGTTCCTAGAACATTTTAAAATCTATATATATACATATAGCGTGTAGTAAAAATTTTTGAAGAAAACAAAAGTGTTCTAGAGCTCATTGCTAAAGTTAGAACCAATTTAATTGTGAATAAGAAACGGAAACAGAAGGTCACTTAAAAGGTACCTGGCACAAAATGACAATCAAAAAAGGTGCTTCAGTAAGGTATGGCTTTGACCAATGCTTTTTGAGTTGTTCAATGTTAACAACCCAGTTTGCACCCATCCTTAATATACTCTAATTTACTCCCATGTTCTTATATATACTTACATCAAAAATGTACAAAAAAATAATTTTAATTGAATATTATATTCATTTACATGCACAGTGAATTAAAATGTTTTGATAGATGCGTCCATCAAAACTAGGGATTATTCCCTAGAATAGGGAATTCCAGATGTCGGGATCTCAACTAAATTATATCCGTTTTGAACAAAGAATGCTATTTTTATAGGTAAATCTCAATTCCTTTCTAAGTTAAACTGAAGTCGATTCAAAAGTAAGAAAAAATTATGAAATTTACTTTTAAAAAAACCTTTGACTATAAATTCTTTGTTCTTCTTGTTCAACAATTTTTCTAATCCAGTTTTTCAAACCAACATTACCAACAATACAAAATTTCCATGGCTGTCTATTTCCATCACTTGGTGATGTACCTGAACAGGAAAATTTGTATCATTTAGATTACATTAAGCTAAATTTGAAAATGATAAACAACTGAGTGGATAGTGGTATCGTATTGAAAAACAGGATTCTAACAGGAGTCTGGTTAATGATTTATCTGCACTTTCAGCCGAATGGCTGGCGAAAAACTCTAACTCCTTAACATTAACAGCCAGTGCAGCCAGTATAACTTTCAGTCTAAATGGTGGGAAGATGAAATACCAACACAAAAATGATTTTAATGAAGAAAAGATACCAGCACATTTTATTAAATTCTCAATAAGTTTCAAAGGAATAGGGCGATTACTGAATTGTCGAACACTTCTTCTTGCTTTCATTTTTTCATAATACAGCTGAGATCTGAAAAAAAATGGAGGTCGTTTGGCGGTTATAACTATTTATTATAAAAAATTTATGAATAATCTGAATGGGAAATATTTTTTTCCATCTAAAAACAAAAACAGAAAAATAAACAAATTTGTCTATCTTAATCTCTTCTCGTTCCTTGAAGTAAACCTATCGGCCAAAATTTTGCAATAGATCCATCTGCAATTCTACCCCCAATGATTCTATGGCGAAAGGGATTTTTAAATCGCTTGAATACTATGTTAACATCTCAAAATTTTCAGTGATTGCACCTCGAGTATGCGGTGATCTAAAATTTATTGTGCTTGCTCAAGACAAACAAATTTCATATGCAATGCAATTCCTATTAAGAATCTTGAAAGTTGCCACTCTCACCGGATAGAAATTAAACTTAACGACGATATATGAAACTTATCCAATGATATCATCTGGAAATGTCCAGGAAAAGAACCCTCAAAGCCATTTAAGCCAGAAATGATGGACGTTGAAAGAGGACGAAGATGGTAGTAAAATTTAAAGACTACTTGAAAACAGCTTGGTCTATGCTCATTTTCATTGATTCATAACGCATTTGCTTGAATGCCGTTGGATCGAAATATTCATATTCAAGATCATCGCTAACGTCTATCTAAATGCAGTTTTTTCCAGTTCAAAATCTCTTAATGCATTTGAACAAAACAAGGCACATTTTGAAATAAAATTCAAAAATTTAAAAAAAACCGTCGAAAGAATCAGGTGGGAACCATTCTTTAATGAAAACTTATTGAATAACTTCGGCAAGAAATTGAGAAATTTTTCTGAATATTGCTTGCAAATATAACTTTTTTATCAACCATAGTTGGTTTTAAAAGCGTGGATCCATTATTATCATTATTCTCATATTTTTCGGCACGTTTATTAGTTTTAGCAAAAAGTGACCGCATTTGAATATATATAAAAATGATGACCGCAAAAGAGCAAATAAAATTGAGGTGAGTATAATCGACATCTGTCAAGTATGCCTTGATCTGAGCGATCTAAAATTATTCAGCGATCATTTGAAGATTTGCCAACAGTAACTGTTGAATGAATAAGTGCTTAGGATCCACCATTTCTCATTTACCGACTGCTAGCGAGATTAGACGCCACTGCCAGAGAATCACTTGGGGGTAGAAATGTGTAGATGGGTCTAATAATTTAAAGTTCACTGTTTTCTTTCGTTTAGAATTCTTATGAAGTTTTATAGTTTTTATATGAAATGAAAAATGTGATCGAAAGATGACTTACGAGAGACGTCCAAAAGCGATTAATTTCTGGAAGTGAAATTTTTCTCATTTATTTTGTATATATTAATTTACAATTAGTACATAATCACAATAATAGAGAAATTCCGAAAAAATCTTTGAAATCTTTATAGAAAAATTCCTCAAATAAATTTTTTTCTAAAAAAATTATGGAATAAAGTGAATACTTCAAAAATCAGCCTGGAAAATAAAAATGAATTTCAACAGTAATTCCACTCATCAATGAACTATAATCGAATACTCATATCGTTTGTTTAAAAAAAAGCAATATAGGAGGGCTTGAGGGTTCTGCAGGCAATGTTTAACAGTTTCTATTATTTCTGGAATGTTTTCTGGAATACAATGGAACAACTTCGCTAATTTAGAGGGCAAAGTTCGAAGCATTTCTTATAGTTAATACAGAAAAAAGATTTATAGCATTACGAAATTTTCGTTGGGAGCACGGCGATTTCCCTTCCAATATTTTACCCTTTACAAAAATTCCTTTTGGGAATCCGCTTCACTATCTTTTTTCTTTGTATAGATTTAATTTTTCTGCCACACGGGACTTTTATTTCTTATTAATATTATAAACTATGTGGCCAGCGTTCTAATTCTTACTTTTCTCGTTACGAATCTCAAACTTGGATAATTAAACCTTTACCAGTAAAGACGCAAATATATACAAGAAAACAAAGCGAAGCAACTGCCTTAATATAAAGAAATAATAATTAAAATAAAATCAAATATAAGATCTAAATGCCCATCGATCACCGACTGCTCACCCACTCGTTTCCCCTAATAGAAGCACAAAATGACCAAAAATAATCTTTTGGGAGCTTATATTTAAGGTGGGCGGGAATCCGGATGACTTGCTCAAATTTACAGCTTTTTTCGCCATTCGACGACACTAGGCTTTGTATAGATTATTTAAGATTTTGAATCGCTGCTGTTTTGCACCTCTGGTGTTGTTCCCAAAAATATTTTGAACTGGACTCATGTACTGGTTCATGTGGTTTTACCTTGGTGGCTATACGTAATACGTTCCATAATATGAAGACGCAGATTATTGGTCGACAGATCCACAGTTCTTTTTTTACAAGAGTCTCTCATGATCAGTATTCTTCCATGTGTTAATCAGTCTGGATGAGCAAACAGCTAACTGGCTATCTGTAAAGTCTATAAATCGCTGTTAGTTTCCTTAACCAGTAGATGTGGACTATGTCCCTATGTTCAGCTTTTCATATTTTAAATTCGCTAGGATATATGCTACTGTAAGAGCCTAGTGGTGGTCAAAACAGTGTTCTTTTAACAGAGCTTCTGTTGGTTTATTATCGTTATTGTATTTATTTTTCCACTTCTGCAGCTGTCTGCGTTGTACTTTGGTCTTATTTTGCAAGAAAGATGTGCATTGCTATTCTTCTTGATTCTATCTCCAACCATTTACAGAATCACAGCGCTTGTAAACATAATAATTCACTGGTTTCTAATATTAATTCTATAACAGTGGTAACAGAATAGCTGTGAGCGCTCTAATCTTACTACTGGAAATGTGAGAGATGTGATGAAATAGTTTGGCGTTAAAAGGACTATTGGCACGTTACATGGATAAAATAAAATAATGTGGCATTGATGGAATGCTATCATAATAATACACCTAATAAAGGACAGAAGGAATTGTGCTGGGCAAAAGACCTATATCTATATTAAAAGAGAAACAGCTAATATCCAATATTTCACTATAGAAAAAAGGAAACTCTTTCAACATGAGATAGATTCACCACCACCTACCTCAGATCCAAGAAAGATGTAATGTGCACTCAGCAAATTGGGAAACTCGGAATTCCCTTCCAGCATCCCCATTATAAAGCAAAGCTGACTGAAGTAAAAATCATAAACAAACTGGTTGAAAACAAACCTCGAGACTAACTCATTGAAGCAAACAATATACTCAAAGATGAGAATAAAATTCTCAGTGGCAATAATGGTAATTTCTACCATAACTATGACAGAAACCAATGAATTGGCATATATGAGCCACAGACTTGCAATTCTGGAAGTGCTTGGACATAGGATCAACAATATCGTCCATGCAGGCTAGAGAAAAGACCAGGTCACCACGTAAAGGAATAAATCAGCTAATAGAAATACAGAAGGGTGTGGAGATCAAGGACAGGATCCAGCCAATGAGAAAAACAAGGGCCACTCCATAAATCCTAGATGCTAAAAAAAAAGCTTACAGCACTAGCCACTAGGTTAAAGAGATATACTAGAGAAACAGATTAAAAAGATTAATGCCCTGTCCTCCAAAAAATTATCCACAGTGATTAAATGCAACAATATCGCAATATCAGAACCATCAAGAAAAGAAATTAAACAATATTGGAAGAAAATATAAAGAAAGAAGATTCATAACATCAATACAAAATGGCTACATGTCCTGTGAATAACAATCTTCCAAAGTTAAAACCATTTAGTGACCACCATAACTGCAGACATCCAACAGCAGGTTAATACGAAAGATTAACCTGGTTCAGACATAAGCATCTGGTTCAGTCATAATCCATACTTACTAGCTAAGAAAAATGACAGCAGTTCATGAAGATAGATCATCTGCTTGCGGCAGACTCTCATCCAGTCTGGTTAACATGGAGGAGGACGGTACTGATTATGAGAGACCCTCATAAAGAAATAACAAGGTCCAAGCATCAGTCAACAACCTGCATTCCCACAACGTGGAAAATACTATTAAGGCTTCAAGACAACATGAGCCACTACTTGAGCATGCTTCAAAGGGGTATTGGGAATAAAACCAGAGGCTCAAAATATCAGCTATTTATAGATAGACATAAGGTTTTCACAGACCAATCTGTCCTAGATTGGCTGCAGGAAAGCCTATGACACATGGATCTGTGAATGTTTGGTTTTATACAAAGTCAACAGGATTCTCAAAACCATCGAGAACTCAACGGAGCTATATAAAATATTTGAAGACAACTCAAAATAACTTGTGAAAATGGCCATCAAATGCGGCACATATTAGAGTAATAATCGCCTCTGCTACTGTTCTGCATAGGCCTAAACTTCTAAAGTGAGATAATGACAAATGAATATGGATAAAATAATTTGATTAACAGTATTTTATTTTAAAAAACTTAGTTCTTGAAATAAAATATTGTAAATTCATATTTGGATTAGACTTGCCATCAGCCATCTTCTTTATATGGATAACACCCAAGTTATATGCCAAAGATTAGTGGAACATCGATTCTTTCATCTAACACGAATCTACAGCGAGGATAAATGGATGTTATTCGAAGAAATCTGGCCGTAATACTGACGAGTAAACTGCTATCAGGCATATAGCATATAGACTCTTAGCACCTCATGGCAACCATGATGAGAAAGCAAGAAAGACTGCAAAATCTAAATACTCTCAAGGAATAAAACGAATCCCGAATAGCCAAGGTAGTGGGAAAACAAAATCCATACCATGAACATATAAGCCTACAAGTCATCAGATTGGTAAGATCACAGTGATGTATATATATATATATATATATATATGGAAACTTCTGATGTGAAGACCCGGAAACTCCTCACAATATCAGCTCAGTATATGGCTAGATATTCCTAAGATCAAATGAGAGATTCCTTAGAAAGTCATGGAGAATAATAAGGCGAAGATCCTGTGGGACTTCTCCATCCAT